AGACAGAGAGACAGACAGTGCTCCCATCTGCTGAGTCACATCCCAATTGTACAAAATTGCCCAGGGCCTGAAGCCAAGAACTCAATCCAAGTCTCTGAAGTGAGTGGCAGGTACCCAACTACTTAGCCATCACTGCTGCATCCAGAGTATGTTATAACAGGAAGCGGGAATCAGGAGCAGATCCAAGTTTAAAACCCAGTATGGGATGTGAGTGTCTTTACTGCTAAGTTAAAATGTTCACCCTAAAATGTCACAATAGCAGAGACTACATGAAGAAAAAGTAACTAGGTAATCAGAAAATTAGATCAGCAGAAGGAAAACTAGGAGAGTCAGGTTATAGGAGATGTGAAGTTAAGTTTCAACTCCCTTGAATATGACTAAGTGAGGACTTAGAGTTGCTTTGCTGATGCAGAGTCTCAGCTGTACGGTCCTAACACAGAAAACAGACTATTCTGGCTACTAGGGAATCTTAAATCAGAATTTTTGGAACATAATCACTTGGAAACAAAAACAGGAAGAAAGGAAGGGGGGGAGGAACAGAGAGAGGAAGGAATGGAGAGAGGGCAGGAGGGATAGATGGAAAGGAAAGAACATAAAGAAAGAAAATCTTGTTGAAGTCTAAATATTATTTTATAAATGAGTTGTGTGCTAATTTATTTTATTTAAAAAGTCTTCCTTTTTTCTCTTTCTTCAAATAATGCCTTCGCAAGAATGTACAAACATACTGAAGAATCTTTCTCATGTCAGACATATGCTATTAATTTCCATGGACAAAGTTATATTACTGTGATGTTTCAAGGTCAAAATTTATATGAATATAAACTGAACATAAGAATAAAATTTCCTAAGCAGCCATAATTCAAGTATTTGTTGAGTTTGTTATGTAGCATTATATGTTCATAAGTTCATTCATAAAAAAGAATATATTCATCAAATATTTCTATCTCATGCTGTATGTCGATGGACTTTATATTACTATATCATCTAAAAAATGGGGATTTGTATTGTGATTACATTTTCCTGGTACTGGTAGATAATGGTTAGATATCTTTCACTAAGGATGTTGTTTCAAAACATGATTGTTTTATTATGAAATTGTGATTTAGAGGGGTCGGCTCTGTGGCACAATAGGTTAATTCTCTGCCTGCGGGGCCTGCATCCCATATGGGCTCCGGTTCTAGTCACGGCTGCTCCGCTTTCAATCCAGCTATCTGCTATGGCCTGGGAAAGCAGTAGAAGATGGCGCAAGTCCTTGGGCCCCTGCACCCACATGGGAGACCAGGAAGAAGCTCCTGGCTCCTGGCTTCGGATCGGCACACTTCTGGCTGTTGCAGTCATCTGGAGAGTGAACCAGCAGATGGAAGACCCCTCTCTCTCTGGCTCTGCCTCTCTCTGTAACTCTGTCTTTCAAATAAAATAAATTTTTTAAACAATTATAATTTAGAATAAAGATTTTTGTAAAACACCCTGATTAATCCAGTAAAGTTCAGTATGAGTGCTAAATAATACATTTAATGAATAAATATTGATTTTGGTTACTATTCTATTTGTTCAAGTGAAGATAAATTTCCCCATAATGTATTCAGTTTGTGCTTAATCATTTTACTCATAGCACAAAGAAAAGTTCTAGGCTAGAGAGAGAGAACCTTTCCATCATTGCTTCCCAAATCTAAGGGAGATTTAGAAAACCAAACAATTGTTCCTGAAATTCTTATTTTCAACATAGATACTCTAAGTACACAAAGGGAGCTTGTTTTAATATTTTCATACACTTGAGATGGGCATTGTGGTACAGCAGGTTAGGCTGTTGTTTGATAGGTTGCATCATATATCAAGTGCCTGTTTTGAGTCCCGGTTACTCTGTGCTCCTGATTTAGCTTCCCGCTAACGTGCCTGAGAAGCAGCAGATGAAGTACAAGGGTTCCTGCCACCCACATGGGGGGCTCTAATGATATGTCTGGCTCCTGGGTTTTGCTTGGCCTAATTCCAGCTGCTGTAACAGTTGGGGAGTGAACCAGTGGATGACAGATCTCGATCTCTCCCTCTTTCTCTCTGCCTTTCAAATGAAGTAACTAATCTTGAAAAATATATTTCCATATACTTCATCTAATAAACTAATTTTCAAGTCAAAAATTATGTATAAAATGATATGAAGGGAAACTTAAGTGATGTTTAAAAATATGAATAAAGTTCTAATTCCTGAGAATGAATTTAAATGCTGTAAAAGCAGACATGTATTTCAGTTTGGAGTTCTAACAGATCCTGAAGATGACATCTCAGAACATGACTTCTCAAAAATATTAATTGACAGCAAAGTTGCCAATAGTCCAGAGTATGGCAGTATTTAATTAAAATAAAGAGGGAATAGCTGGCTTTTAGTCTGGTAGGTAAGACACCAGTTGGGACACCCACAACACATATCAGAGTGCCTGGGTTTGCATTCTTGCTCCTCTCTTTATTCCAATTGCCTTCTAATACACACCCTGAGAGGCAGCAGGTAAGCTGCTCAAGTGGTTTGGTCACTGCCACCCTCCTGGGAGAATTGGGTCAAGTTCTCAGCTCCCAGCTTTGATTTCCCTCAGCCTGGACCACTGAAGTGTTTGAGGAGTAGACCAGTGGAAGGGTACTTTCTGTCTGCTTGCCTGTCTGTCCTTTTTTTGTTTGTTTTTGTATATCTCTAAAATAAGAAAATAAATAGTTTTTTAAATAGAAACAAACCGAAGAAGAGGGAGAAAAGATGGCAAAGAGAGAGGAAGGCATGACAGAAGAAAGGAAGGATTGATGAAGGAAGGGAGGTATGAGTTACAGACTAGAGATCAGTGACTCACACATGAGTAAACCTGCAAAACAGATTATTAAAATACACATTTTCAAAAAGTTATAATCAATGTGTCAGCATATATTTGCTAGGAAAAAGTCATAGAGTTATGAAATATAGGGGTAATGTTTGTGAATTACATCAAAAATAGAATACAGCAGCTTCTGGGAGACACAAGTGGGAACAATGATGAAACTGAGTTAATTTCTAGATTACTTGGGTGGATTTATGCAGGTTAATACCAAATACACAGAACCTTTGTTAACGGCTATGTGTCAACCTGGAAGATAATTTCTGTGGCAATATCTTGATTCCACTATTTATAATTTGTTTTCAATTACCGTGGTAAAGAATTTGATAGAATGTTCAGCAAATTTATAGATGCAAATTAGATAATACCTTGAATAATGGAAATATATAATAATCTTGACAAACAAGAATGCTACATCACAAACAAGGCAATTAAGAAAGTTAAGTATTAAATGGCAACTTTAGTTACAAAGTTCATGCACAGAAATGAAAATTAATGGCATTCTTATTTCAGTATTTTATGAGCCAATCATTTAGGAATTTTAGTAACATACAAGCCTTATCGAAACCAGAAATGACACAATTATTATGAGCCAAGTTAAATTTCATCCATGGAAATGTATTGTTTGTACTCAAAATGGATGAGTCTTACAGAGTTCTGCTTTGGTTAGATCATATTCAGAATATTCTATACCATTAAAGTCACTTCCCTTTGGGACACCTAAATTTAGATAAGTCCAAATGAAACAGAAAGGCTATTCCATGCAGGAAAAGGGAGACACACTACTGATTCCATATATATTAAAAGATAGTAGGGAATATTTTGACCTACTCAATGCATTTAAAATTTGCTACAGGAGTAGATCCTATGTTGAATATGCTTATCACACACAAACAATAATGATAATATAAAAGGAGATTTTTGAAGATGATGGCTATGCTTATGTCATAGAATATGATGATAGTTCTGTGGGGTATACTCATCTCTAATTTTATTAAGTTGCATATACTGAGTATATATGACAATTTGTATGTCACATTTTTCATGAATAAAGTGTTATAATACCCCTATGATTTTTTTTACTAAATTATAGGGTTATTCAATTACCTACATGTTTATTGCATTTTGGCAATTTAATAAATTAGCCTATTTTATCTAAGTTTACTAATTTATAGTTCAAAGGGTTTTCAATTATTGATCATGAACATAGACCCCCAAAGTAATAACATTAATAAATCAAATCTAACAATATATGAAAAGCATAATGCATCATGATTGAGTGGTGTTGATCCCAGAAACACAGGCCTGACTCAACATTCCAGAATCAATCATTGCAATGCAGCACATTAAAATATATTTATCAGTACATGTGAAAAATTCTTCCAACAAAATCCAATATATATTTGTTCATGATAACATTCACATGTACTTATAGTATTGATAACAACTCTTTGAAAATAAGTTCCTTAACCCTTAGAAAGAATATCTACAGAAAAGATCTGCATTAAATAATCTCCAGATACAAAGTAAGTCAAGTGTGTTACTATAGATGACATTAACAATTTAAGTATGGAAATAAAATAATAAAATTAGCAATTTTAATAGTATCCAACACTGAACTACTTGGGAATAAATCTAAATACTGTCTTCCACAGTATAATAATAGCAATTGGGTAAACAATGGACTGTACGCTCAGCCAATGGTGGTCCTGTGAAATGGTGAATGACATAATAGCCATCTTTAAGTATACACCATGACATGCGCACAATGGTGAGATTGTCTAATGATGCATTTCTTTTTTTTTTTTTTTTTTTTTTTGACAGGCAGAGTGGACAGTGAGAGAGAGAGACAGAGAGAAAGGTCTTCCTTTGCCGTTGGTTCACCCTCCAATGGCCGCCGCGGCGGGCGCGCTGCGGCCGGCGCACCGCGCTGATCCGATGGCAGGAGCCAGGAGCCAGGTGCTTTTCCTGGTCTCCCATGGGGTGCAGGGCCCAAGCACCTGGGCCATCCTCCACTGCACTCCCTGGCCACAGCAGAGGGCTGGCCTGGAAGAGGGGCAACCGGGACAGAATCCGGCGCCCCGACCGGGACTAGAACCCGGTGTGCCGGCGCCGCTAGGCGGAGGATTAGCCTAGTGAGCCGCGGCGCCGGCCTAATGATGCATTTCTTAGAAAGCATTCCAACCACGAAGCAAATTGTGACTGTATACAGAAGATCCATGTCCAGACACTTATAAAACTGATGAAAAAGCCCTAAATAAATTAACAGCTATACTGTGTTCATTTATTTGAAGACCCAATGTTAAGATAAGAGTACTTCAAAGCTTTCATGGAGAATTGAAAATAAAATAAGTTTATTTTAATGCAAAAATTTTTAAATTAATGTCTTCTTTACAAATTTACATTTTATAAACTTTATTATGACCCTACAGATGCAGCTATTTCAAAATTTTTGTGAGGCCAGCATTGTAGTTCAGTGAGTTAAGCTGCTACGTACATTACATACTGAACTGCTGGTCCAAATCCTGGCTGCTCCGCTTCTGACCCAGCTCCCTGCAAATGCCTGGAAAAGCAGTGGAAGATGGCTCAAGTACTTGGGCCCCTGCCATTCATGTGGAAGACCTGGATGGAGTTGTGGCCATTTGAGAAGAAATTAGAAGATCTCTTCTCTTCTCTTCTCTTCTCTTCTCTTCTCTTCTCTTCTCTTCTCTTCTCTTCTCTTCTCTTCTCTTCTCTCTTCTCTTCTCTTCTCTTCTCTTCTCTTCTCTTCTCTCTTCTCTCTTCTCTCTTCTCTCTTCTCTCTTCTCTCTCTCCCTCCTTCACTCTGCCTTTCAAAAAAATAAGTAAATAAATCTTTTAAAAAGTTTGCTTCAAAATAAACTTATTTGTTAATCTATATATCCCATTTGTTCTAAGAATCAATCCAATTCAAATCACAGTTCAAGTAAACCATTTTGTAGGCATTAACAAGCTGACTTTAAATTCCATATGAAAAGTCAAAGGAAATAGAAGAGGAAAAGCAATTCTGAAGAAAATGAATAAATATAGGCACTAATGTACACTTGTGGAACTGAATATCCAAGACCAGCCTAATCAGATCTGAAACAGCTGGCAGATGAGTAGTTCAAATCTAAATTATCCCCCTGTGTTCCACAAAATGGAAAATGGAATGGGGTCCCAGTGATGGAGGAAAATAGCAACACCCATCATTTATAGTATTTCTACATCATAAGAAATGTTACAGGAAATCCTTCAGGCAGAAGCAAAATAAGGTCAGGTAGAAACAGGAATCTTCCCACAGGAAGAAGAGCACCATAAACAGTAACTACACAGGGAAACACATGTTTTTCTTATTCTTCAATCTCGTTAAATATACTGACTGCCTAAACCAAAAATAAACTGTCTTGTGGGGGTTATAATATGGTATATAAAATGTGTGATGATAGTGGCACAAAATACCATAAGGGAGAAATAGAAGTAAATTATTATTATGATATATGTGAATTCACATAAAATAATTTGAAAGTAGAGATAGATGACAATAATCCTGAAACAACCATTAAAATAACAGAACAAATGCTTACAGCTTATAAGTCATGAAGGGTGATTTTTAAAATACAATGCGTACTCTGTGATTTCAGGTGTATAAAATCCCAAGAAATGCAAACTGTTGTTCAGTTAGCACTCTGCATCTGCAGGTTCAGTATCCACCAAACAGGGATTATAAATATCTATTTACAAATTGCATCATACTAAATGATATAGATTTTTCCTTTTTTTTTTTGTTTTTTTTTGTTTGTTTGTTTTGTTTTTTTCTGGACAGGCAGAGTTAGACAGTGAGAGAGAGAAACAGAGAGAAAGGTCTTCCTTCCATTGGTTCACTCTTCAAATGGCCGCAATGGGCTGGCACTGCACTGATCTGAAGCCAGGAGCCACATGCCTCCTCCTGGTCTCCCATGCGGGTGCAGGGCCCAGGCACTTGGGCCATCCTCCACTGCCTTCCTGTGCCACAGCAGAGAGCTGGACTGGAAGAGGAGCAACCGGGACAGGATCCAGCGCCCCAACCGGGACTAGAACCCAGGGTGCCAGCGCCGCAGGTGGAAGATTAGTCAAGTGAGCCGCGGCGCCGGCCTCCTTGTAGTTATTCTATTAACAGTGTATTAAACAACAATTTACATGTCAATTCTATTGTATTATATAATTAATCTATAGATGTTTAAAATATACAAGAATATGTGCATAAAAATTTATATACAAATACTATACCATTTCATAAAAGCAAATTGAACACCTCAGATTTTGGTATCCAAGGGGGTTCCTGGAAGAAATGGGCCATGGATACTGAGCCATGACTCTATAAAGAGAGACAGAAAACAGGTCATGGGTTATTTTGTAGGGAGGGAGGTTGAACTCGGGGAGACAGCTTGAAAGGAAGGCTTTTAATAAGCTTTTAGGGTAGTAGATGTGTTTACTGTCTTGACTATGGGTTGGTTTCATGGATATGTGAGAAAATAAATCAGAAGTCAAATCCTGGAGGAGTTTATCAATTCTAAGTATGATTTTTAATACAATAAAATGCCAAGGTTTTTAATACAGCAAAATACAAATGTGTATAATAAACCTCTACTGCTGGAAGCAAATGGCTCCCTTTGCAATTCTTCGAAGTAACACTTGCACTTCCGATTGCTGAGCAATAATCCATTTTGATGTATGCCTGAGGAACAGTTCAGGAGTTCTTTTGCAGGCTCACTAGAGCAAAGCTGTGTTTCCAGGCAATATTCTAACAAGACTTTTAAGAGCCTATTTATAGTCTGTTTCATTTGTAACTCAAACCACTCAGGAGAAATATAATGATTCAGCTACAGCCACCTGAAATTTACTTGGGACCAAAGTTCTGCCAGGCTATGTTTTTTGTTTGTTTAAAAGATTTATTTACTTATTTGAAGGGTTGAGTTACAGAAAACGGGAGAGAGCAAGATCTTCTATCTGCCAGTTTGAACCCGTGACCATATGGGATGCTGGTGCCACAATGGTAGCTTTACCTACTACACCCACAGCACTGGCCACTAGGCTGTGTTTTAAAGAAGAATTTGTGGTTGACTAAACGTAGGTAATAATGGATTATTGACTGATTTTCATAAAATTAAGATAAAAGGTCCCTAACAGAAACTGCCAAACAGATATGTATACTTCAAAAACCTAGAGAGAAGAAACTAAAAAAATTAAGCTCAGTAAAAGGTATATGGTCAGCTTTCCCAAAAAATATAGGTGATGCTATGGGGATGGGAGGACGTTGTGGGGTAATGGATTAAGCAGCCAATTGAGATGCCAGCATTTCATATGGGTGCCAGTTCCAGTTCTGGATGCTCTACTTCCAATCCAGCTCCCTGTCATATTATATGGCACACACACAACTTCTATCTATTAATTCTAGATAGTGCATTGTACGTACTTCTTACCTCTCTTTTCTGTATCTTGGGATTAGAAATCATGATATTTCAAATGAATAACTGGTCAAAAGTTGATAGAGAAAAAAATAAACAAAGGCCTGGAAAATGTTCACCTATAATGCACTAAACGTGCATAATGTATTCTTCTGCAACTGTTATCAAGTTAGATATGATCTAGCTGAATGCGGTCATTTGATATAAGAGTAAGCTGAGACATAGAAGTTTAGATCATATGTAAGAATCAGAATTTGTAGGAAATCTTGGAAAACATCACATTTTTTTTCAGTCAACCTTCCAGATGTGATTTGGAATCATCTTATAATTTAAGATAATCCAATACATACTCTTGATATATATTTATAGCTTTTAGGTAATTTCTTATTCATATTTCTAAACCTCACATTCCTATTTTTCAAAGATGTGTTTATGTATTTGAAAGGCAAAGTTTCAGAAGCAGAGATATACATACAAATGGCCGGGTGGGGAATAAATGACTACTCATTTCTATGGCTTAAAATTTAACCAAAGAAATAACAGCCTGCTGTTTCACATAACTTGTGTGGGATCACCAGTGCCCATCAGATCAGCAAGATTCCATTGTCTGCCTTCAGCATTGGTACATTCTACAGGTCTGAGAATCTCATGTAGCTTTGCCTTTTGTAACAAAAGGTACTTGTCCAGTGATTGGTGCTCAAGATAAACCCAGTGATTAACGCCTGCAGTGTTTAAAACCGTAGAAAACTTTCCTCACTAGATTCCTCCCCCTCTCTTTCCTCTTTCCTCTTTTTCCTTCCTTCCTTCCTTCCTTCCTTCCTTCCTTCCTTCCTTCCTTCCTTCCTTCCTTCCTTCCTTCTTTCCTTCCTTCCTTCTATTCTTTCGTTCCCCCCCCCTTTTTTTTTCATATTGCTTCTTGAAACTACACCTGGAAGCCATGGATTTTTGTCCCCTTTAAAAGAAGGAGCATCCCGAGACGATGTTTAATTCATGACTGCAGAGGTACAGGTACCCTGAACAGACAGTGTGTGTTTGTTAAATAACACTGTGAAACCCAGACATTTTCCTGTTTCGTCCTGTTTTGAAATTTTCAAAAATGATTTTTCCAGGCTTTGCCCATCCATTACTTTTAATAATGACTTTATTGGGATACCAATTATTTTCTTTGGGCCAGAGGAGAAGTGTTAAGCCATATTTCTCCTGTAATTTAAGAATGCTTTTTATGGATTGTAAGTGTGTTATTCTGTATATAGGATGGAATCCAAAAAGCTAGAGTGGAGAGTTGTAAATGCTAAGTCTTACAAGCTCAGAGCTTCTTCACCATTCGTTTCTTACAAAGAAGAAGCCAAACAGAATCAGGGAATCCACCATGTTGATTTCAATAGTCAGAGATTTCCGTTTAGTAATGTTTACATTCATATGACAAGAAATGCTTTGGCGAGTACAAACTTGTACCTAAGATACAACATGTGCTAACAACCTGTGTTTTAATTTCAAATTCTAGCTTAGTCTTACACCAGGAGGTTTAATAATCACTGTTCATTTCAATCATGTCTGCCAACCAGTGCACACATTCTCTTCCCACACTTGTTCACAAATGGTCAGGCATCTCAAGGAAGTTCTAACTCAACTGGTTGCAGGAGGGCTTTTGAGTCGATGGGGTTAATGTCGAAACAGTAGTATGGATTTGAGAATATGGAAAGCATTGTGCCAACCCCAAAGCGTTCCCAAGTCCATTCATGGATGTCTGCCAAAGCAGTAGGAGTTGGTTAAGCCATTTGTTTCATTTAAATGCTTATTGAATTCAGAGAACACAGCCCATAAGGTATTTTATGTAGAAGAATGTTTGCACTAGGGTAAATAAACAGTGAAAATCTGTTTTTTTGGTTTGTTTGTTTGTTTATCTGTTAAGAGAAGAGAGGAGAGGTGAGGTGAGAAGGGTAGGTAGAAGATAGGAGTGAGGGGAGTGGGAGGAGAGAAACACAGCAGGGGGAAAGATGGGAGGAAGAAGAGGGAAGGGATGCAGTAGAGGGAAAGAATAGCAAGGGGACAAGGGAAATAACGATGAAAGGAGAGAAAGTCAGATGAGATCTGTCAGTAAACAACGAAAATGCTCAGTCCACCACAACTGCCTGTGGCTCAATAAAAGCATTAGCTCAAGCATGACAGGCACCATAGCCATCCCCATTATAGAGAAACAAGACATGGTCCAGAGACTGGATTGTCCACTCTGCAGGTTTTGGCATTTCACAATTGCCTTCACTTGTGCTTCCCCAAGTTGCTCTCTTATTATTTCTTCTTCTTGGCAGGTTTAAAGATGGTAGGTGGGGCTGGTGCTGTGGCCTAACTGGTAAAGCTTCCACCTGCAGAGCCAGCATCACATT